AGTGAGTTGTGCTGTACTGTGTTGTTCTGTCTTGTATCGAGGACTTCCACAAGTGAGTTGTGCTGTACTGTATTGTTCTGTATTTTGTTGAGGGATTTCTACAAGTGAGTTGTGCTGTACTGTATTGTTCTGTATTGTGTTGCGGACTTGTACAAGTGAGTTGTGCTGTACTGTATTGTACTGTTCTGTACTGTATCAAGGACTTGTACAAGCTCTACTGTATTGTACTGTTCTGTACTGTATTGTACTGTTCTGTACTGTATTGTACTGTTCTGTACTGTTTTGTACTGTTCTGTACTGTAATGTACTGTTCTGTACTGTATTGTTCTGTTCTGTACTGTATCAAGGACTTGTACAAGCTCTACTGTATTGTACTGTTCTGTACTGTATCGAGGACTTGTACAAGCTCTACTGTATTGTACTGTTCTGTACTGTATCGAGGACTTGTACAAGCTCTACTGTATTGTTCTGTATTGTGTTGCGGGCTTGTACAAGTGAGTTAAACTCTACTGTATTGTTATATATTGTATCGAGGACTTGTACACAAGTTAGTTAACTCACTCAATCCCGGGAGTTTTTCCCCGAAAATATCCATAGAAACCGGTCATTTTGGCACTAATGTAAGGGCCCACTAGCTACCATAAATATATCCCTGTTGCTTTGAAATTTGGCGCAAAGGCCGAATGAGCAAGAGCAAGCCTACGTTGATATTCAAATATAATGTGCTTGTGAGTGTCTAGGTCTATGTATTGTATGTCTCTGTTGACATCCACCCCTTGACCCTCATATGACCTTATGCAGTCATGAGGCCTGTAAAACCTTACTAAGACTAAAGAATTAGGGTTGTTCTTCTGTTTATTGGTATTTATTTGAGTTTTTCTGCCTGTGCTTCTATGCTGGAAATTTTCCAGTGAAATCTCCTCTTTGTATTTCTCCCGAGTTTTTGTCTGTCATCCGTGTGTGTGCTGGAAATTTACCATTGAAAACCTTTCTGCGTGTCTCACCGAGTTTTGTCTGTCTGTGTGTCCACGCAGGAAGTTTGCCCCTCGCTGCTGCGTGTGCCAGCGGCCGATCATGCCGGACCAAGGTCAGGACGAGACAGTCAGGATTGTGGCCATGGACAAATCTTTCCACGTGGACTGCTACAGATGCGAGGTGTGTAGTAACTTAACGGTGCTTACTGCCCACTGCATTTTGGGCCGCAAACCGGGCTGCGCTGAGGCATAGTTTTTTTAGGCCGGTCGGGATCAGAGGTAGTCCTCATCTAAGTATAGCTATGAGAAAACCCCTGGGCGAAAATTTAAGCTTGTTTGAAATTTTTTAGCAATATACAGAAAAATTTAATGTTTCGTTATGGTTGCTAAATAACTGTATATAGATGTGTGCTGTGGAGTAGAAAATCATTAAGAAGATGGGCTTCCATTCCTGCCTGTCAGGGTCAAACTGGGCTAAGAGGAATACAGGATCACAGCAGAAAGACTGAGACATCTAGATCTTTAACATTTACTGACAGTGGCGGTTACTTCATGGTTTGATAGTTTGTGTTTATTCTGGATTGATAGTTTGATGGGTTGTGTTTATTTTTGGTTTAATTGGTGTTTGCTTTGGTTTGATAGTTTGTGTCTTATTTTGGTTTGATGGATTGTGTTTTATTTTGGTTTGATGGATTGTGTATATTTTGGTTTGATGGTTTGTGTTTTGTTTTGGTTTGATGGA